GAATATAATAATAATGATTTATTGTTTGGGTAAAAAAATTGCATCAACTCTTTAAGATATCCTAATCTATTAGGTACCTTGAGACTTTGTATTCAGGCAGGGTCATAAGATCTTATCATCCCTACTGATCACAGGTTACAAAATCTAAAATATTGAAGTTTGAGAATATAGAACTGAGAAAATAGGATTCTTTTCCCATACCTTGTCAAAATGGGGGAATTTACAAGTTTACTAAAATAAAGAATAAGTTTTCATTTGAAAAATTTTGGCTATCATTTATAAAAATTACAAAAATATATAGGGTGGTTTGGGGCAGGTAGGTAGCACAGTGGAGACAGTGCTAGGCCTGGAGTCAGGAAGATTCATCATCATGGGTTCACATGTGGCCTCAGATACTTACTAGCTGTGTGACCCTGGGCAAGTCATGTAATCCTGTTTGCCTCAATTTCCTCATCTGTAAAAGGAGCTGGAGAAGGAAATGGAAAACCACTCCAGTATCTTTGCCAAGAAAACTCCAAATGCAGTCAAGAAGAGTCGGATAGGATTGAAATGACCAAACAACAATAACAACAGGTAATTTAAAGATGTAACTTCAATATATTAATATGAGCCAACTATCAGGTTTTGTAAGTACAATACTAGATCTATTACCTAATAGACTGGTACTGGAATATCCCGAGTTACTATAATAAGATGAAAGTATGAAAAAATCTTACAATTTTAATCTGTATTTATGGTCAAATTATAATATAGGGATGATATCCTCCCACAGGGGGAATTAGACAAAGATGGAATGTAAAAGTTTTCTAATTAAATGGAATAGTAAATTTTGAGAAAGCAACAGGATTAGTTTGTTTTCTCTAAGAACCATATACATATGTATATGATTGACTTCCAAATGGATCTAGTATGGATATTCAGACTTTGACTATGCTTTAGTAATAAATTCTCAAAATTGGATTAAGGATTTTACATATAAAATTGCATTAGGAAGGTGAAATTATTTTCCCATTTTAAAGTATCTGTCCAATCATTTTAAAAGACAGAAAGGTTCATTTTACAAATTAGAACCCCCACCCCATGAATTTTTCTTTAAGATTCTTATATCAAGAATAGTGTTTAGGCAAAGATGAAAACAGCAAATGATATATAAAAACAGGAATTCTCTAAAGTCTCAGGTGAATTGTGTTCCTAATTTGATGCTCTTCTTATAGCTCTATTAATAGGATTAGCTCCATAAGGCTTGAACTGGTTCTCAACATATGGTTGGTTGGTTGCTGTCCTTTGTGCTCAAAGAGGACCAGAATGACTGTTTTGGGGTCAAGGTAAGTGTGTCCAACTTTGGCTGAACAGACTAATACCAGCTCAGAAGGCTCTACCGCAGGTCGGGCACAAATAGTTATATTGAGTCTTGTTAATGGCAGATTTTAGCAGAATCATCCATTAAGCACGAGTTCCCTGAAAACAAAGACTGGTTTTGTTATTGTTGTCTGTTCTGCCTTTCTTTGCATCCCCAGTGCCTAGCACATTGCCTAGCACATAGTAGGAGCTTAATAAATGCTTATTAGAGGCAGCTAGGTGGTGCAGTGGATAGAGCACCAGCCCTGGATTCAGGAGGACCTGAATTCAAATCCAGCCTCAGACCAAACACTTGACACTTATTAGTTGTGTGACCCTGGGCAAGTCACTTAACCCCATTGCCTAGCCCCGCCCCCCCCCCAAAATGCTTATTGACTAAGTTGCATAAGAGGTCAATCTGCATTGGTAAGGGGAGTTTCTTCATTGAAAGTTTCCTATAGCAATTAAATCACAAGTATGTTTCTCCTCACCCCCAGTACCACCCCCCCCCCAAAAAAAATCCTTGTGGACCCAATGGAAAGATGTGAGATGGATTCAGTATTGGTTGAATGACTGGACACAAAGAGTTTGAACAAAGGATCTGTGTCAGCTTTGTAGAGTGTCTCTAGTAATGTCCCAGGGCTCCATCTTTGGCCCTTTTCAACTTAACATTTTTATTAAGGACTTGAACGAAGGTATAAATGGCATAGTTATCAAACCTGCTAATGACCAGAAGCTAAGAAGGCCAGTTAATATGTTGTATGACAGAATCAGGAAGCAACAAGCATTTATTAAGCATTTACTATGTGCCAGGCTCTGTGCTAAGTGCTGTGGATACAAATACAAATAAAAAGAAAGACATTCCCTGCCCTCAAGGAGCTTACATTTTAATGGGAGAAGACCACACATAAAAGGGAGATTAGAGCACAGGAAAGAGAAGGTATCCTAGGGGACAGAGTGATGAAGTCTGGAGAGCATCAGAAGCATAGGTGGTTGGTGAATGACTCAGATATTATTAACCTAGGTGGTTGGAAGAATGAGAGAATCATAGATTTCAAGCCAAAAGGACCTTAGAGCATCTGATCTCTGCCCTCAACAAAGCACCCTTCTAACCCAACACTTTTGTGACCAGATACTTCCCTGTGTGGAGATGGTGTTCTGCATTTACCTGAATCATTCCTATATCCCTGTTGAGTATCCTATCCATGATATTGTTAAGTAAGTTTCTTTCTCTTAAATGTTGAATGATCCCATTTCATTCAAATCCAAAACCTCCAGACTAGCCTTTTGTCATCTACAAATTGAACAATCATGTATCCTATACCTTCATCTAGGATCTTAGGTTACAGATTGAAAGCTCAAAGGGCCATTTGAAATCATCTATTCCAATCCCCTCATTTTATAGACGAGATACTGGGGCCCAAGGGAAGTTAAGTTGATTTGCCCAAGGTCACACAGTAAGTAGCAAAGCTAGGATTCAAACCCAGGTCCTCTTCACTCCAAATCTGGCTCTCCTTCCTCTGTATAATGCTGTTAAGTCACTGATAAAACTGTTGAAAACACAGGACAAATCCCTGGGACACAATCCTGGTAATCCCTCTCCAACATGACCTTGAACCAGTAATAGCTCTTCCTTGTATCCTATCATTCAACTAGTTCCATTTCCACCTAACATGTACTATCATCTAGACTGAATCTCACCATTTAGCTCAAATTGAAGTATACTTTGTCTGCAGCATTTCCACGATCTAGTTCCCAGTCCAGTAACTCTGCCGAAAAAGGAAATTAGCTTAGTTTAAGAAGGCCTCTTCTTGCATAAGCCATGCTGATTTTTAGTAATCACTGTTTCCCTTTTTAAATTATCAGAAGCTAGTTTTCAAGATATCATCTAGAAATTTGCAAGGTGGTAATCATAAAAACATTCTGGTACTGGCTAAGAAACAGAGTGGTGAGTCAATGGAATAGATTAGGTACACAATACACAGTAGTAAATGAACATGGTTAGCTGGAGTTTGATAAACCTAAAGATCCAAGCTTTTAGGGCAAGAACTCACTATCTGACAAAAATTGCTGGGAGATGGGGGCAGCTAGGTGGCACAATGGATAGAGCACCAGCCCTGGATTCAGGAGGACCTGAGTTCAAATCCAGCCTCAGACACATAACACCTACTAGCTGTGTGACCCTGGGCAAGTCACTTAACCCCAATTGCCTCACCAAAAAAAAAAAAAGAAAGAAAAAAAAATTGCTAGGAGAACTAGAAAACAGTTTGGCAGAAACTAGGAATAGACTAACATCTTTTTTTCTTTTCTTTTTGGTGAGGCAATTGGGGTTAAGTGACTTGCCCAGGGTCACACAGCTAGTAAGTGTTATGTGTCTGAGGCCACATTTGAACTCAGGTCCTCTTGATTCCAAGGCCAGAGTTCTATCCACTATGCCACCTAGCTGCCCCATAGACTAACACCTTACACCATATACCAAGATAAAGTCAAAATGATTTAGACATAACAGGTGATATCATAAGCAAATTAGGGGAGCATGGAAAAATTTACCTGTCAGATCTATGGATAAGGAAAGAGTTAATGACCAAACAAGAGATAGAGAGGATCACAGGAAGTAAAACGGGCAATTTTGATTACATGAAATCAAAAAGCTTTTGCATAAACAAAACCAATGCAGCCAATATTAGAAGGAAAACAGGAAACTGGGGGGGGAGGGGATTTATAGCAAGTTTCTCTAATAAAGGCTTCATTTCTCAAATATATTAGGAGTTGAGTCAAATTCATAAAAATAAGAGCCATTCTCCAATTGATAAATGGTCAAAGGATATGAATAGGCAGTTCTCAGAAGAAGAAATCAAAGCTATCTATAGTCACATGGAAAAAATGCTCTAAATCACTTGATTAGATAAATGTAAACTAAAACAACTCTGAGGTACATCTCAAACCAATCAAAGTGGTTGACAGAAAAGGAAAATGGCAAATACTAGAGGAAATGAGGAAAAATAGGTACACTAATGCGTTGTTGGTAGAGCTGTGAACTGGTCCAACCACTCTGGAGAACAATTTGGAACAATGCCCAAAGGACTCAAAAACTGTGCCTACTCTTTGACCCAGCAATACCACTACCAAGTCTGTATCCCAAAGAGATAAAAGAAAAAGGAAAAGTATCTATGTTATACAAAAATATTTACAGCAGCTCTCTTTGTGGTAGCTAAGAATTGGAAATTGAGGGGATGCCTATCAATTAGGGAATGGCTAAACAAGTCATAGTATACGATTGTGATGGAATACTACTGTGCTATAAGAAATGACAAGCAGGACAGTTTTAGAAAAACCTAGGAAAACTTATATGAAATGATACAAACTGAAGTGAGTAGAACCAGGAGAACATCATACATAATAACAACAATATTGTAACAATGATCAACTGTAAAGCTGTAAAACTGTATCAATATAATGATCAATATAATTCCAAAGGACTCATGATAAAAAATGCTATCCACCTCCAAAAAGAGAACTGATCTCTTGAGTACAGATCAAAGCATACTTTTTTTCACTTACTTTATTTTTCTTGCTTTTTTTTTTTTTTTTGCAATATGGCTAATATGGAAATGTCTTGTATAACTTCATAGGTATAATTAATATCATATTGCTTGCCTTCTCAATGGGTGGAGGAGGGGCTAGAGGGAGAGAATTTAGAATTCAAATTTTTTTTAAAAAGTGAATGTTGATATAGAATTTTGCTAAGAACAGAAGTCAAGTTTGATGGATTACAGTTTGTAGAATCCACCCTCTTCTTTTTTTGAAAGTCAGGATATTTGCCCTTCTTCAGCACTGGAGCACCTCTCCTGGTCTTCCTAAAGTGTCAGTGATCAATAATGGTTCAGCAATCACATCTTCCCCTTCTTTCAATATCCTTGGATAGAGTTCATCTAGGCCTGGAGGGCAGATAGATGCTGTCTCATTTATCTTGAGTCTCCATTCCCTGCTAATCAATTTTGTCCTGTCCTTTTCAATCTCAAAATCATTTTCCTTAGAAGAGAAATAAGAAGCAGAATAAGAGTTGAGTAGTTTAGCCTTCTTATCACCACCTATTATCACTTTCCAACCCCCTCTGTACAGCAGTTCTATATACTCTTTGACCATTATTTTGCCTCCAAAAGTAATTTTTAAAAAGCCTGTTTTTGAGTATTCATCAAGCTAGCTTGCTCGTGTCTCCAATTCTTAAAATTCTTGTAGAATTATACTATTCGTACTTACCCTTCCATCTTTTTTCTCAATTGACAATTTTATTATTATTCTATTTTTTCCTATTCTATTTTCTATTATTTCTATTGTTTTTACATTAACTAGATTACCCCCGTATCCCTCTTCTGCCCCTTCTAAATCATCCCTTATAACAAAGAATTTTTGATGAAAAAAAAGAGAAAAAAAAATCAGCAAAATCAGCCAACAATTTGATCTGACAGCATATGCAACATTCCAAACCAGTAGTCCCCACCCCCTATATCCCACATCTACAATGGAGAGAAGGTACATTTTCTCAGCTCCTCTTAGCAGCCATCTGTTTTATTGTTTTTCTGGTCCTACTTCCCTCACTCTGCACCAGGTCACAAGCTTTCCTATGCTTCTCTGAATCCCTTATATTGGTCTTTTCTCATGACACAGTAATATACCAGTATATTCATGTACAATTTATTTAGCCATTCTCATTCCATAGCTCCTTGTCTCTAATTCCTCACTACCATAAAAATATGTAATTAATAGCTTTCTGTCTTTGATCTCCCTTGGGGTATATGTGTAGCAGTGGGATCCATGGGTCAAAAATACGGACATATTAAGTCATTTTTTTCATAGCATAATTCTTAATAGTTTTCCGGAATTAGAACAACGCACAGCAACCCCATGTATTAGTACGTTTTCATTCCATGGCCCCTTCAATATTGACTATTTCTATCTTTTGGCAACTTTGCCAATTTGGTGCATGCGACATAAAATCTCAGATGTTTGGATTCACATTCTTAATAGTGATTTGGAACAATCTTTAATATAGTCGTTAATAATTTGAAATTCTTTCAGGAATTGTTTATTGATGCCCCTTGACCACTTCTATGTTGGGGTCACACATTTCAAAAAAAATCTCAAGGGGCTGAGTTCCCTCCATAGCTACATTGGTCTTTTTAGGCAGTTCCCATTTTCTTCCTAATAAGAATTATTACCATTTGTGTCTTCAGAATTTTATTCTCAAAAGCTTCCCTTCATTTGGGGACCAATTTCTCTATACCAAGACTGCTGGATCTTATCCATCCCTTATCTGACATCTTACCTATAGGGCTCCCCTGCTCAGTAAGCTCCTATGGATTCCTAATTACCTCTAGGGTGGTATACAAACCTCCTCTGTTGGGTAATTAAAGTACTTTACATTCTGGCTCCAGCCTCTCTTTTACATATTCTTCAGTCCAGTCAAATTGGTCTTCTTGCTGCTCTTCACATAATTCTATCTCTTATCTCTGGGCTCTTTGCATGGCCTTGTAAACCCTTCTCGCTTGAGCTCAGGTCAAGATCCAGTGATGTGTAGACTTGCCTGATCCCCCCCGGCTGCTAGTGCCTTTCTTCCAAAAATTACCTTGTACTAATTGTGTAAAATAACGCATACTTAGATAATAGAAGTGACTGGAGAATCCCTTGGACTAATAAACTGGGGCACAGTCCATGAAGTCAGCACACAAATCCTGGTTCCATAAGGACGTAAATGTCCTCTGGCACAGGGCTGAAGAATTGGCAATTTGGAAGGATGAAGCAATCCCTTACTGGTTCTCATGACTGGGAGCCGTGTCAAAGAGGACTGGAAACTAAGCCAGGAAGAATCACCCACTCAGTATAAGGAAGAGGAGAAATGTCTTCTGGTATCTTTCCACTTAACAACAGGGAGGGGATACATGATTCAGATAGTGTTACAACTGGATGACTTCTAAATCTAAGATTACGTTGATATTATAAAATTACGTTTGATTCTTACATCCTCAGTCTTCGCAGACCAATGCTGATAGAAAATTGGTTATCTGCCAAGAAAACAAGTAGAGAGGAGAGATGGGCTCAATCGAGCCTGAGTGTGGGAAACAAGGCATCCCTAACAACCTTCTGGTTATCGCAAAAGAAAAGAGTCACAGTCAAACATCTCTACTTGGGATTTATTATCTTATTCTTTAAAAAAAAAAAAAGGAAAAAAGGAACGGGGTAGAATGGAAATAACCCCAAAACACTAAACAGGAACCAAGAATCCAAGAGTTTGTAGTCACCCATCCCCACCCTAAGTTCAGCCCTTCCTGAGACCCTGACCCATTCTACCCACCCACCCAAATAAAAAAGAAAAACCCCAAGCCAGGAAGAGTGGTACCTGGGACAGTCACTGAGATTCCGGACACAGGGAAAGGGAAGGGTAGAGTCCGAGAAGTAAGGGCTCAAGGTGAGGATTAATGGAGAGGTGAAGCTCTGGAAGGAAAGGCTGGGCCAGAGACAGTGGGGCAAGAATAGGAGGGCAGAGAGCAGGGCGTATCCCTCCAGGCTGCTGCTGCCGCCACCACAATCTCCAGGCCCCTCTGAGGGAACGTCACGGTTTATCCTACAGTCCACATTCCCAGTCCATGAGGAGCCTCATAAGCCTAACTCCAAGTCCTCCAACTCTTCTTCTAAGGCCCCCCTCCTCGCCAGTTTTTCTAACTGCTCTCTGCTGGGATGACTGATCTCCCCGCTCTGGATGCGCTGCTGCAGCTCCACTATCTGACGAAGTTTCTTCTTCAGGTTCTTTATCTTCTTGGCTTTCTCGGTGGTGGAAAGTGTATCGGGTTTGTCAGGGTTGGTTGCAGGGGCGGCTCGGGGAGCAGGAGGCACGCTTGGCAGCTGTGCTGGCTCCTTCAGTGACACTTTATCCAGAGTCCGGCTCAAGGTCTCTGCTGCCCCCTTCCCTTGCTGCTGCCGCCTCTTCTCCTTGCGTTTCAGGTTGCGTTTGGCAGTCTTAGAAAGGCCTGGTTCACCACTGTCTAGCCGGGGTGGGGCTGGGACCCCAGCCTCAAGGCTCAGCCCGGGAGGTAGTTCAGGTTTACTCTTGAAGAACTTTACATACTTGTTTTCATACCTGAGAGGAACAAAAGCTGTCAACATGCCCTCAGTTTCCCTGCCTCCCAAGCCTGACTTTCTCTCCACACCAGTCTGATTTCCTTCTCATCCCTGCCCTAGGGAAACCAGCTTCCCCCACTCCCCTACCCTCAGTATACTATAAGCTGCAGAGGAGTTATGAAGCTCCTGGGACCAGAGCTATGAAACTCTACCCAACACTCCAGCCTTAATGATAACCAAGCATCATGGAAACTCTTACTCTGACGGGTAAGATCAGTAAGAGCCTCCTGTTTCCTCACCCTACTGCTCTCACACCCTATCCAAGGTCTAGGTTACATTTCTTGGGAATGCAAGAGAGAAATTCCCCAGCAGATACACACCACCCTGCTTCTCCTGGGATAAATTACCACCACCCCCTACCCCACTAGAACAACCACATACACAGGAACTTCTTCCTGAGGCACGTAACCTTCTTTCACTTTCCGCTGCTTCCTCCAGGTCCCGTCTGGTCGCTGGGTTGAAGCAATATATTTACCTAGAACAAGATAAATCAGGTTATGAAGACAATCTCTTCTGTTTTCAAAAAGCTCCAGAAAGAGAATGAAATCCTTGAATTTATTTAACTGTGTTAATTTTCTTTTAGGTATCGTTTGTCTACTCTACTCAACTGACCTACTTTACTATTTTTTTAACTAGTATCAAACACATGCTGGTTATCTATCAATTACTACTGGGGAAGGGACTCCTCAGTTGATAAGAACTGCTTGGAAAACTGGAAAGCTGTTTAGAGGAAGACAGATTCTGGCCATGCATGCATCTTGTACCACGTGCCACAATAATGATCAAATGGATAAGCAATTTAAATGTAAAATTTCATGTTGTTTTTTTAAAAATGGGTAAGTCATCAGAAAAGACAAAAGACAATTTTGTTATGTAAAATTTTAAAGTTTTTGAATGAACAAAATGTAGCTAGAACAAAAAGTTGTAGAGAAAAAAAATCTTTGCATCAAATGTCTCTGATAAAATTTTAATATCCAAGATATGCAGGGGATTAACACAAATATATATGACTACGCCATTCCCCAACAGGATAGCCCCAAAAGAAGAATTGAGCCCAAATCTTGCCTCAGACCCTTACTAGTTGTTTGATCCTAGGTTAGCTGAGTTGCCTTCATTTCTTCATCTATGAAACAAGGGTGACAATCGCACTTAACTCATAGGGTTACTGAATGGCTCAAATAAGATAACGTATAAAGTGCTTTGCCAATCGTTCAGCCCCATATAAATGTCCATTTTTTTAAAATAATGTGACATTTTACATTTAAATTGCTTATCCATTTGATCATTATTGTGGCACATGGTGCAAGATGCATGCATGGCCTGAACCTGTCTTCCTCTAAACAACTTTCCAGAATAGGGCTGTAAGAAGACAGGCACAATAAGATACTGTTGGCTGAGCTAGGAATTGGTCAAATCAACAGGAAAACAGTTCAGAATTATGCAAAAAAAAAAAAAAAGGTACTAAACTCTTCATACTCTAATACTAAATTATTCATGACCTAGTAATTCCATTACTGGGCATATACCTTAATGAAATCAATGACTTTGACAAAAAAAATCCTAACTATACCAAAATAGTAATAACAGCAACCTAGAAACAAAATGAGGAACAAATGAACAAGCTGTGATAAATGAATGTAATTAAATATTATTGTACAGTAAAAATAATAAATATGAAGAATCCAGGAACCATGTAAAAGAGTTGTATTGATTTAAGCAGAGCAAGGAAAGAAGAACCTGTAGAATACACACAATGACTACAATAATATAAACGAAAACAATCCTAAAAGCCATCAAAAATCAGAGTAAATGCAATGACTGGTGTTGGTTCCAAAAGACTGTGAACAGGGAATGTCTTTTACCTTTCTCTATCCTCAGTCTTTAGCACAATGTCTGGTACTTAGTAGGCACTCAAGAAATGCTTGTGGAATGATAGACTGAAGACCTAAAATACAGTTTGTCTTCCTCTCCATAGAGAGGGAGTAAACTCTGGATGCAGAATACTGCATGCTTTGTTAGGAGTCAGCTGCTAAATTAGTTGATTTTGCTTAACCATTTACTGTATAATAACCATGTTTTTTAAATAAGATAAATAAAACTTTTTTTTTAAGAGGAAAGAATGAAATTCTGTCAATTCCCCTCAGTCACCTAAACGCAAACATCAGCACCTCATTTCTCATGTCTCACATCACTCTACATGTATTTGGGTGGCAAACACTACGAACAAAGTAAAATACACTGTCCTTTTTTCTTTAAAAGTTTATAATTTACTTGGAAGAGACAAGACATTAAGCCACTCCAAAAAATTCCCTCTTTGTCTGAGCGTTATTGTGTCTTATACATGTGTCCTGCAAGATAAATGAATGACATGATATGTATGTATCCTGTATATGTATCCTCAAGTTTGTAGCATTCAGTCTAGTAGGAGATATAAGGGACAAACACAAAAAAACTACAACATAAAATAGACAGTGATAAGTATTCAAGAGATGTATAAAAATGCTATGAGAGTTCAGAGGGAGAAAATAACCCCCTAGTTGGCTGATCAGGTAAGACTTCTGGGAAAAACTATCATGTAAGCTGGGATTTGAACAACAGGTTAAACTGTAAAAGGTAGAGATGAAAGAGTATCTGGTCAAAGGAAATGGCATGAGCAAAGGTATGGAGATAGGAAAGCATGGTGCATCCTGGGATGATGTTGAGAAGTCCTATTTGGCTGAAGTTTAGCTACAGGACAGGGTATGTATAAGGTAGGAAAGGTCCTAGGGCTAGCTCATGGAGGATCTTCAAATGACTGAGGCAGTGGCAAATCACTGGTTTTGAACAAAGGAGTAACACAGTAAAAGCTGTGGTTTATTAATGATAGCTAACATTTATATAGGGCTGAACGGTCAGCAAAGCACTTTACATATTACCTCATCAGAGCCATAAATAACCCTCTGAGTTAAGTGCTATCGTCACCCCTATTTCATAGATGAGGAAACCAAGGCAACTCACCTAACCTAGAATCAAACAGCTAGTAAGGGTCTGAGGCAAGATTTGGGCTCAAGTCTTCTTGACTCCAAGTTCAAAAGTTTATCTCCATCCATTCTGCTACCTAAAGTGCTTCACATCAGTGGCCTCTAAACCTTCACTGGGTACTCCATCAATAGAAACGTTTAAGCATGTACCCCTGACATGTTTGCTTATTTATAAATTATATACATACTCTTGCACTAATAATTATAAAAATTATAAACTTTACACAAAAAATAGTAATTTAAAAAGGATAAAATAAAGCTAAAGTAACAGTTGCTCCTAGTTGCTAAGGAGTTTATTGAGTAGGGCAGTGATATGGTAAGAGATGCCCTTTAGGAGCTGTGTGGAAGATGGGCTGGAGAAGGGAGAGATAAGGCAGAGACACAAATTCAGAAGTTATTTCAATAGTCTAGGCAAGATGTCATGAAGGCCCCTAAACTACGGTAATTGATGAGTGATTGGAAAGAAGGGAAAAGATGCCAGAGGGATTGCGGAAATAGAAACAATAAGATGTGGCAAATGATTGGCTATGTAGGAAGATGAAAATTGAAGCATTAAAGATATGACATCAAGGTTTTGAATCTGAGTGACTGGAAAGATAGTGGTACCCTTAATAGGCAGAGGAAAGTTGTGAAGAGGGGTGGGTCTGGGGGGAAAGATCATGTAATACAATCTGGGATCTGTTGCAACCCATTCGTACCTGCTCATCCTTTGCAACTCACTCTGATCCACCCAAATGAAAAGGGGATAGGTGGGATTCTTGCCAGTCATTGCCCTAAAGCCTGGAGGCCACCCTCTGCAGGGCACCTGCCATAGCCTCAAGGTAATTTAGGGGGACGGGGAGACATAG